GGGGGGTGTTGGGCACTTCATTCCATAACATATTATTCCCACTTTCTGGATAAGGAAACAGAGAGGTCAAGTGACTTACTTAAGGTCAAACAGGACCAAAAACAGTCCGTGGCTTTTGAACATCACTTTTAAAAATCTTGTTAACCCATCCTATACTGTGAGATAAGTCTACCTTTATGGCTGTAAAAACTGAAAATAACCCCAATCTTCTTGACCTTAAAGAAAGAGGAAACTTGCCAGAATAGGTATGACAGGAATGAGCGTTTGTTGTACACACAGCGTCTGGCTCTCCTGGCTCCCTGGCTAGGCCTTTTCTGCCATGGTTACATAGCCATCCACAAGTCTGGATTTATTTGTCCATTGAAAACCAATGGCATCAAAAGCTAAGTGTCTGGGAATTTGTGCTGCTATAACAAAGTCACATAGACTGGTTAACTTATAAACAACAGAAATTTATTTGTCACAGTTCTGGAGGCTGGAAGTCCTAGTTTATGGTTGGGTTCTTGTGAGGTCCCTTTTCTGGTTATAGATGGCTGATTTCTCACTGAATCCTCACAGTGGCAGGAAGAGAGCAAGATAGTTCTATGACCTTTTTTTATAAGGGCACTAATCCCATTTCTGAGGGGTCTGCCCTCATGATATCACCACTCAAAGGCCCTACCTCCTAATACCATTACATTGGAGGCTAAGGTTTTAACACATGAATTTGGAGGGGTATGTGGGAGGGGGGGGAGACAAAAACATTTATCCTATTCTACCAGGTTTTTCTTTTACATATGGACCTTAGTTGTTTGCTACTCCAAGGACAATTTTACAAGTCTTAATTTATGGTTTCTCTTGAGAAGTCAAAAATGCCTGGTGTTATGGGGAGCTGCAGAGGGCTGCCCCTAATTGCTGGCAGGTAGGGAGAGGATGGTGGTGAAGTCTTCTGTTGGCTAGCATTTTGGCAGGCCCAATAGACTGTTGGGGTCTGGTGTTGATATGGTCTGAAACTTGGCAGTACTGGTCCCTGAAAGAGCTGAGCATGAAACATTGGCTGCACCTCCGCACAAGCCAGCAGGAGACAGTCACGCAGAGCTAAAGGAGTAACAGAGGGACAGAATTACGCACATGGGTCCTCCTTCCTCGTTTGATACAGTGAACCCTCCCTTGTTTTCTCTGATGCTGAAAAGCTTATCAGTGAATCGTAAAACTGTGTGTCGTGGTGAGAAAGGAAAGGGCAAGGCTGTGTGGGAGGAGAAGAGTGCGAAGTCCCGAAACAAGCATTTCTGATTCTGTGAAGGGTGGGGTTAGATAGGTAAAAATTTTCAGGTGTGCACTAAAGTAAAGGTCTCCATCAGGTGCACACCTCACTTTGAGTTGTCCACAAGAAGACTAAAGGCTAAGCAGGGCTGCATGAAGCCAGCAAACCCTGGTGCAGACAAGCCAGTTGTTAACATTTTGAGATATTTCCATGCATGTTAATTGGTTAATACCCCCAGCAACCCAAGTACTCTGCTGCTACCACCACCAGAGTCCTATACCTCCCTCAGCCACCCTGGCTCCTTCCCAGAACCCC